TTCATTTGTAAACAAAGAATTGTCGTACGATTTTATTTCACAATTTTGAGTGGAGTGTTCTAGAGGGGGTTGTAGTGGCAAAAGCGGCGGCCGCTTTGTGAAGATTTTGCGCGTAGACGACACCATGGCGCTGCTGTTCTGTGCCCTAGGAGCGCGCCCCCGTCAGCCCCATCATCAGCGCTGTTCGGCGCTTACTACTGTGGTTTGACTGGAGCTTTTCGCGGTGCGAAACAACTGCTAATGTTGTTCTGTATACTCTGTTTCACCTTATGATGTACCGCAGGAAAGGCTACAAGCGCGAGCTCCATGCTCTGGGGCACATCTCGGCGGCACAAGCGCTCGTGAATTAAGAGCAGCTGCTAACGCTATGAGCTCGCGCTTCTAGCCTTCGCTGCGGTACAACATAAGGTGAAACGAAGTATAGTAAATTGTAGTTCTGCCTTTGGACTAATGCCTCTAGAGTGTGTGCTATCCTCTACTTGAAATATTCGCGTGTTTTGAGGGAGATTATTTAATTAATATCGACTCCCCCCCCCCCCCCCCCCCCCCCAGTACTGACGCATCGTTCAGCAACGCTATCACTTGGGCTGCAGGCTTAATAGCTGCGAAAGAAGTTCTGCGGTGCTAAATTTTGGAGAAGCGTGCCGCGTCACCCTCGTCGTCTTCTTCGTTCATCACACACGTGCCATTAATTCTCCTAGGGCACAGAACTCCAGCGCCACTCGCGGTATCTACATCGACCGTCTTCACGCGCTTCATTGTAAGCGGGCGCCGCTCTTGCCACTACACCCTCTAGAACACTGTACTTTTGAGTGCAGGGACAGCAATATTATTTGATTTTGTTAAAATAGGGAAAAAGGATTTTATTTTATTTTAGTAAAACGCTGTAAAATCTGCTTGACGAGGTATTTGTTTATGTTTAAAAAGAATTAGATAATGTTTACATGTCAGGTATAGCTGTCCCTTTGTTTTATTTAGTGTCTTTTCCTTATCAACTTTTAAAGGAGCAATGCAACAATTTTTGTACTTTGTACAAATACCGCGTAAAACGGATCCCTAACGTTAATGACCTATGAAACACGCGTTCGTTTTTCACCTCACGCAATATAAGTCCCAGAAAAAAATTTAAGAAAAACGAGCAGCATTCACCCCCTCAACTCGCAGCCAGAACAAGCGGCCACGTGATCTGGAGCCGATTATATGCCGCCAATGTTGATCATAGCCACGCGCTGGGGTTGGCAAAGCGCAGGACACGCGCTGAGTTCCAGACATTGTTATGGCTCGGCTATTGTCATCGTTGCAGCGATTGGACACGGGTTACAACCCGAATGCTTCTCGAGATAGCAATTGTCACGAGCCCAAGTCGAGTGCCCACGCAATGCTCGGGTCCAATCTATGAGCCGCATTCAAATATCGTCACTTGGGTGTACTGCGATCCCCGAGTTACGTCATCAAATTTTGCAAAGGAGAGATTGAATGAAAATGATCGCTTTTGTCCTTGAAATTACACCGCAACAAAGGCGTTTCTTGGCCAGTGGCGTTGCGTGTGAGTATCCTTGAGTCCCAGGTGTGCCAGTAAGCTCGTGTAGAGAGAAAAACATTCCAATTGAATATCGTTGCACAGCTCCTTTAAGTCATGCAGTCATAGATGGTCAAGCACTCTGTATACCATAAAAAGCTACTTCTGCTGTTTTGACTTACTTACTCATTTATGTCCTAATTATACCGTTAGCCGGGAAGTGTTCGTGTCTTAGCGTTCATGTCTTATATTTATTCTGAATCATTAAACTATAGGGGATGAAGGCTACTTTTATGGGCACTGTGTGCAAGGACTGATAAACTCACAGTGTGTTAAAATACGTCAGAAAGTAACAGAATGGCAGTTATTCTGCAAAAGAGTGAATTTAACTCTTTATAAGAAAGTGATTTTAACACCACGTAAGAGTTGTCGGTTAACCTTCAGCAGAGTTGCTACGACACTCAATAGATAATACATATAAGCCGACTTATATGGATTACTTATTAACTACGCAACCCTCACGTAAGAGTTGATGGTAACTCTCCTCGGGAGTGAAATTAACACGTTATATGAGAGTCACTTTAACACTTCGCAAGGGTCGCCAAATTACACTAACCCAGTATTTCCTTTACTCACATTCAGCGTGCGTACAACACAACCTGTACAACTATAGGCTATTCCTTTAATAGTGTTAATTTAATAGTGTCTCGAAGAGTAATTCCTGCTCTATAAAAAAAGTAACCCTGACTCCGAACGGGTGACTTTCGTTACTCTTTTTTGAAGTGTAGCGCTCACTCTAATCAGAAGGGGTGGATTTTTGGACATGCCAGTTACACTGCAAAAAAAGTTACCTTGACACTTTTCTTGATTTAGAGTGAGTGTCAAACGGTGAACTTTTTCTGGAACTAAATTTAGACTGCTTTTATAGGTGTGAGGTTCCACTCTTCACGAATGTTGACACACTGGTTTTCATTAAAAATAAGGGATTACGATGCAGTTTTATAGATTTAAAACTTTGGGTATATTAACGCAAAAACAAGTTATGTTCCGGTTCTGTCGTCTGCACTATTTCCACTAAGAAGTATTGTTAACCCCAGTACCGTCCAGTTGCCTAAACCAACAGAGCGCATTTTAACAAACGAATCTAAGTTTTGTGTAAACATGAAACACTCCAGAATGGATATTGTTTTTTCAAATCATTATGTCAAATCACCTGTCTGACCCGGCAGAAAAAAGCGCACTACTGTCGTCATCGTTGAAAAAGATGTCGGATTTTGTAGATGCCTCGTACAAAAGCGACCATTGAAATTTCGCTAAGATCACAACGCTCAAATGGGAGCTAGAAGAGAAATAGCTGGTTTTTTATAAACCGATAAGGCAGACATGTTTGCTGTGTTGCTGAAACTGGAGAATAGGGAGAAATCATATACGGGTTTTTTGGGTTTACTTTAGGGATTTTTACGGCCGAGTGAAGCAATCCAAATGTGAAAATTTTTAAATCTTTGAAGGACGCCGATTTTGTAGGGGCCGCCAAAAGGATCAACGGGGTCTTAAGTTGTTTTGCATTGAGCGTTTTGTGAAATACCACAAAGTAGATCTACCCCCCCCCCCCCCCCCCCCATTAAAAGGGAACTTGCAGAAAACGGAGGATTCCTTTCTGCAGAACGCTCTAACTAGTGTCGATACATCAACGCCGTTGCCGTCGCGGTGCTCTAATGATCTAGTAAATGACTTGCAACCATTTCATAAAAAGTGCTGCACGGTGTTTTTGTTTGACATTAAATGTTTATACCACTCGTTTGGAATCAATGTCACACTAACAAGTGCTAGCAGGTTTTTGGAAGAACGTTTGATCAGGTTACACTCTCAGTCGAGCATATCGGATCCAATGTTTCTTAGAACCTCAGTGGCATTTCTAAACTCAACCGTGGTAGAGCATGACAATCATAATTTTATCCGAGAACAAGGCATCTGTATTGGATCAGCGGTAACCCCTGTTCTCTTTTAAATGTATCTTGGGTTTCTGAAGTATTGTTGAAAAGGTACGTAGGGCGATGTATTAGTGTGTTCTACAGACGTATCTCTAACGAAATCTCTAGAGAAGTCAGTTTATTTTTAAATTAAAGATCTGCTGGAATTGCCGAAGGACGGTTACATATATTACCTGGGTTTTGAGCTCAAAACAGAACCAGCACTTTGTTGGGAGTACGGCAAACCAGCCAAAAACCAGTTCTTCTCTTCGGTAGCAGCCACTCAAAGCTTGTGAAAATAGGGTTTATTAGAAACCTAATTATTTCATCAGAACAAACGTCCTGTGTTCATTTAATAGGTTCACCTCACCATCGTCTTAAACCATCCAGGATTTGTTTAGGAGTATATTTGAAGACAGTTGTTTTGTCTGTTACCTCCGAAAAAGGCAACTCAGAAAATTAATAAACCTTCTAATCGGATAATTGTTACCTAATTACATAAACTTTTTCACAACGGTCAAATTTGGAGGTTTTACATGCCGAACAAACGACAGGCATCTGGGACGCCCCAGTGGAGGACCGCGGTTTCATTTCGACCACCTGGGGATATTTTGGCGTACATTCAAACACTCAGTTACGAAGAGCTATCCTACAGGTTTAATATTGGCACTGCCTTTTCACGGCTTATAGGCAGAGACGCATGAATTACCTCAAATCAACAAGTACAGGTTGTGTGAAGATACACAACGAAAAAAATGTTGATTGTATATCACAGATCGTATAGAAGATATCCTTCGATTGGGGCGTATGTTATATTGAACAAACTAAACGTTGCATAAATGAGCACTTAACATCACACAAAATATGTATAAAAAGAAAGACCTTCACTCGGGTGTATCCAAACGTGTAACTGAAATTAACAATGTTGTGACATTTTGGGGGTCTGCATATGTAGAGTTACGCGAAAAAGATGATCACAGGCCTTGATAATACAAAGTCCGTAACAATACTAAACCACGTGAACATTGTTAGCAAGCGTTCGTTTAGCTTGGACCTTGAACTACCACGGTTTCTTGGGCTTTGAAAGGCTGTGACCATAAGAATACGTTTGTTAGTTGTGGTCTGAGAAGTTAGGTTACGTGTTCTATGGTCTGCATTGTGACGTCGAACTTAGGTGTACCAGTGTAGAGTTTGGAAGGAAAGAGCAGTTAGGCGAAGGTTTGGGGGTAAGAGAGGAGGTGGGTGTCGCGACGTTTTTTGTGTTATTGATGTGTGACCAAAATTGTTTTTTAAGCTGTGGAAAGAGGGTGTTCGGTGTTTCCCTCTCTGGTTGAGGAGGGGGGGGGGGGGGGGGTTACGCGCCAAACCAACAGCTGCATCTGGATTCCCCTCTGGTTTATTTTCTCTTTGTCATGGTGCCTATTTAAATTCGTTTTGGAAAATAAATATATCAGCACCCTTTGAGGCGTTTCAGTCTATGTGTCGTCTTTACCTGCAGTCTAACAACGTACCGAAGAAGTTCTTCCAGGTAATCGTAGACTTGGCCATTCCTGGGGGCAAAGAGGCCAACGCCAAGGATGATGTATCCAAATTTCATGACGTCCCCGGCTCTATTCACTTCCTGGAGTTCTCTCAATCTCTAGACCAAACAGCAAAAAATGAAAGACGTTTAAAACCTCGTGTAACGCCGAATTAGAGCGCAGCTCTTCAGGAGAAGGAGGAGTAGGTACAGAGGGAAGGGTGTGCCCCTCCTTCCTCCCCTTCGTCATGTGACCTTCGTGAGGTCGCGTGACCCTCGTGACGTCACGAGTCCCGCGCGTTCCATTCGGGGACGTTTCCTATAGTGCACCGTACGCTTACGCCTACGGAGACGGCGACGCGGACACCGCTCAATCTGGAAACGGGCGCCTATGAGCTGAGCTCTAAAAACGGAGACATAATAATACCCTGAGCATTCTGCCTATACACCACACCTATAGTAAGAATTGGCTTTCTATTAGGAGATGTGAAATAATCTGGGTAATACTGCCGCCGTCGGAAGCCACTTGATATAACTTTTATTCTGTGGAGTGAATCCCCAATTAATGGTAGGTTAAAATAAATCTACTAATTATGAAAGAATATATAATCTCATTTCTTTACCTTTTTTATCGCACCTGATAAATTTCAATGGCAGAAGTCAAATCTGAAAGTCATTGCCCGTCATTCTCTATTCCGTTTGGTCTTCTCCTTTTCAAAATACTTATGGGACATCTCCCCCTCCCCGATAGTCTCATCTTGCCTTCCGCTCCTAAGGTTTCTTTCCTCTGAAATCTACCACAGACATAATTCGTTCTCTTTTCTTTTCTCACAGGTCCGACGGGACACACGATCATTCTATAGTGCTGTAGGCTAACAAAGACTTTAATAGACAAAATTAGATTTGGCCAGCTCCTTGATGAATCTATAAATCTCTATTCGCTTCAGGCAGGGCATTGTAGTGCTGATGTCTATATTTTGCGACCAGTAGTGTGCATGCAGTTTGTTAACCTAACCTGCTCGCTACAAGACATGGAGCGTGCAACTGACTCGTGTGGGCATTAATTTCTAAGCGGGTGTACTATTACGATTAACATGACTGTGAAGACGGCACCGCGCGGACTGCGGTACTATCAATGCCCCCTGTCGAATACTGCGGAAAGCTTAGATGCAAGGAATTTCGAGACAGATAGACCTCTGCAATCTTTGCGACGCCCTTCACTTCCGGGTCGTCCGCAGCACTGACGATGGCCTCAGCGATGGACCCCGTAAATGTGACGTCGCCGATTCAAACAAACCGCTGCCAGGGCCCTTGTTATGGTAGAATGCGTTGAAGTTGATTTCGATCCGAAAGAACGATCGTTAAAAAAATGAACGTGGGATTTGAGCGTCTTAAAATAATAGATATAAGGGAGTCTACATTTCAAACTTACAACATACAATTGCTGAGAATGGACTTTTTCTGAACTATTTGTGACACCTTGTTGTTATCGAGAGGTCTCGACATGCCTGCTGCAGACGACAAACCTGACGAATGCTCACTGAATGACTGAAGTATGCCGACTGCAACAGTTTGAATGGTTTGCACAATGGTGCGATTTCGATTTTATAATTATTTGGAACATGGCAGCTAGGCCTAAGGAAACTCACCAGGTTTATAAAAACGAAGTGTATTTGGTTGCAATATGATACTGTACAACATAAATCATCTCACGCAAGGAGATCTGCTCGCAAGAAGACGAGAAAAAACATCTGTTTAGAACATGAAATCAAAACAGCGCCGGCCCAATTTTTTTTTTATTTTGCAGTTAACGTGCGTTATAATGATGGAATGATAATTTTTATTCCAACATAAGTTGTTTGAAACCACCAACTTTTTTAAGGCTCAAAACATGGGTGCGTGCTCTGTACCGTACTGCTTGTAATCATCAAACTGAGAAAACATCCTGTTCGTTCTTCAGTTTAAGGTAAGAGCCGAAATAGCCAAGGAGCTCAATTATATTATCGGGTAATTTATATTGTCGTGTGCATGACCGGGAAGGAATTGCTTCTCCTTACTGCTAGAAGAATTGCGTTCACTCTTACACCGATTGTAAAAAATAAAGAGGCCAGAATGTCCTTGCCTAGCCTGTCTCGAACATTCTAGGTTGAATTTTCGAGATGCTGAGTGTAGCGGATAAGGAGTCGAGCGTGGCCTTTGCCAGATCACTCAAATTCCCACGACGAAGAGGCAGATTCACTCTCGCCCCTGCCAGCTGTCACGTCAACGCAGCCACGTACGCTGCTGCTGTTTCGACGTAATCATTCCGCTCTTTCTGACGGAAGCTCGCCGATTAAACCTTTGTTTTCGGTTTACGCCCGTCGAGACTTTTTCATCGGCGACATTTCTGGTGGAGGTGCGGGGCAAATGGGAAAGCGTTCCTTCTTGGTCATGCACGCGGAAATATATACCGGGTAATATTTTTTATACGAAACAAATTTATTACAAAAAATCCGTAAAGATGCACTAATGCGGTTCGTGCAGGTGAGTTATACGGCCAGGGGAACAGTATGTGAGTGGCGAATCTTTGCGAAAAGTCGGTTAATTAATAAAAATTCACGAATTAACTTTTTAATTATTGCAAATAGACATATGGTTGCAATTAGAAACCAACTGGGCGTCGTCAAAAACAGCTAAATCGACTCTTTGAAGAACGTATTTAGGAGACACCAGCTGAACAAACCAAGCAGACAAATGTAAGGAGGACGAGAGAGACACATTCAACCGCTGGACTAACAAATGCATTTAATGAAACACTTCATCTTCATTGACAGGCTAGGATCCATCATACCTAGCTTGCTTCACTTCTTTCTTTTTTTTTTTCCTAATTTTTAATCTAAGGCATCCTCCTCGTCTTTCTACTTGTGGGCGGTACTTCCACCTCGCAAGATCGTCCTCTCTTCTCTGGTTGAGGTCACAGATGGTGAACTAACACACATGTCCCCTTTCTCTTATATGTTTAGAGCTTGTAAAACCTCAAATGCAAACCGGTTTCGATGGTGCCTTTGTAGGTGATGGTAACTTTGTCTAGGTTCGCCTTGCACTTGCAATCACGGCAATGTAGGGCTAAGTGACTTTCTGCCGTCAAGTTCTTCAAACTATTGGCATGTTCCCGAGTCCGATCACTTATACACCGCCCGGTCTGCCCGATGTAACAGCGGCCGCATGTCAGGGGTATGTGGTATATAACCTCCTTGTCGCACTGGGCATAAACGGTCCTGTGATTGATGCCACACCCCTTGCTGTTGCTGGTTTGCCCCTGATTGACCTCGCGGCACAACGAATAGGCCTTATTGGGCGCCGAACACAGCACTTGTACCTCGTGCCGGTTTGTCATCTTTTTTAACCTATGTGTAGTCCCATGAATATATGGAACAACCACGAACGGTCTTCTTTTCTTTTTTTGCTGTGTGGAAGGGTCGTTGCGTCCGCAAGTCGTCTTGATGGTGCTGCAAATTCTTTCGCACACGGAGGCAATTACATGTCGTGGGTAGCCCGCGTCTTCGAGTCTGTATATTTGCAACTCAAAGCTTCATGATATCTGATACTCACAAGATTTCTTCAGGCTAGAAAACAGGGCTGTGACAGCTACTGCCTGCTTAACAGTTTTTGAGTGCTGCAACGAGAAGAGGAAAAATCCTTTGCCTGTACGGGCTTGGTATCTCCAGCAAACATGATCTGCTCTGAACTCCAAAACCAAATCAAGAAACTTGATGGTCTTTCTGACTGGAAGCTCATGCGTGAAAGTGAGCCTCATGCATGACTGCTGAAATCTCCTCAGGATGTTGTTGAGGCACCCGTCGATATGATTGTTGATTTCTGTAGTCCATAAAATGAATAAATCATCTACATACCTAATATCACTGCAATTCTTGGATCTTTAATGCTTTCTTGGATGACACGCCCGCACGCTCCGAGAAAAACTTCACACAGACCTGGGGCAACTTGGGATCCTGTGCACACGCCGCTTCTCTGCACGTAGTGGCGATCTTGAAAGGCCACCACCATGGCTGATAGGTAATAGCCCAAAAGTTCTAAGAAGGTATCCACTTGCATCCCTGCCGCATTCTGGAATGACGTAAGGCCTTGGTCTTCTATGTTTGACCGAAAAACTTGTAGTAGACGTGCTTGCGGGATGAATTAGTACATGTCTTGAACGTCCATGGAAAACCCAGAAACGATTATGTTCCCCTTTTCTTTAAGAAAAGAAAGCAGAAAAGATGCAAGTGGATACCTTCTTAGAACTTTTGAGCTATTACCTACCAGCCACGGTGGTGGCCTACCAAGATCGCCACTACGTGCAGAGAAGCGGCGTGTGCATAGGATCCCAAGTGGCCCCACATCTGTGTGAAGTTTTTCTCGGAGCGTGCGGGGGTGCCATCCAAGAAAGCATTAAAGATTCAAGAATCGCGGCGATATTTAGGTATGTAGATGATTTCCTCATTTTATGCACTACAGAAGTTGACGATCATATCGACGGGTGCCTCAACAACATCCTGAGGAGTTTTCAGCAGTCATGCATGGGGCTCACTTTCACGCATGAGCTTGCAGTCACGAAGACCATCAAGTTTCTTGATTTGGTTTTGGAGTGCAGAGCAGATCATGTTTGCTAGAGATACCAAGCCCGTTCAGGCAAAGGGTTTCTCCCCTTCTCGTTGCAGCATTCAAATACTGTTAAGCAGGCAGTAGCTGTCAAAGCCCTGTTTTCTAGCTTGAAGAAATCTTGTGAGCATCAGATCTCCCGAAGCTTTCAGTTGCAAATATTCAGACTCGAAGACGCGGGCTACCCACGACATGTAATTGCCTCCGTGTGCGAAAAAATTAGCAGCACCATCAAGACGACTTGCGGACGCAACGACTCTTCCACACGGCAAAAGAAGAAAAGACGACCGTTTGTGGTTGTCCCATATATTCATGGGATTTCACATTGGTTAAAAAAGATGGCAAATCGGCACGAGGTACAAGTGCTGTGTTCGGCGCCCAATAAGGCCTATTCATTGCGCCGCAAGGTCAATCAGGGGCAAACCAGCAACAGCAAGGGGAGTGGCGCCAATCACAGGACCATTTACGCCCAGTGCGAC